ACTTATTTTTGATACATTTGTACGTCAATTCCTAAAAAAAAATTATAAATTTTCTTTTTTTGTTCTATTTTTAATCGAAATTTTTATTATCTTTATATGGCCGTTTAACATTTTTATTTTACGTATTATTGTCGAGCCGAGTGGAAAGAGTCGCCACGTCAACGCTAGTTTGACCTACCACGTTATATGCATAAAAAAACTCTTTCGCGCTGATTATCCAAAAATTAAGTTTTTAATTTTGTTTATTAATGATATATATTTATTTATTATTCACATATATTATACATTTTTATGTTTAGTTAATAAAAATCTTACTTATGATAAAACATTAAAAATATTCATTTAATTTTTATCACTAAGTTTTATTCAATAGACAAAATATCGAATGATTTTCATTCGTTAAATTAATACCATTATTTAAGAATACACCTCGATTGATTAATTAATTTATCAAACATTATATAATTTATCATTGTTTTAAGAATATGCCTCCAAGATTTCTTAAAAATGAAGAATCATAGTCAAAAAACTCTAAAAAAATCCATATTTTAGACCTTTTTTTGCCCATTAATTCATTTTGATAATTAATATTGCTGTCAATAAAAGGGACATGATCCCTGTCTACATCAATTATATAGGTTCTTATAATAATTTATTATTATTATTATTATTATTATTGTGTTAAGTTTCAGCAAGGTTATCATCTCACATTATATCATATCAAAAATAATGTTTAAATATAATTTATGAAATGGTTTTTATGTATTGAATTGTTTATTTTTTTTAGCTACAATTATCAGAAGTGATTATGAGAGCTCGTTCATTAGCGAGTGAGTTAATGGGTGGCAAAGGAAATGTTATCGGTCAAGATTTAACTCTTGAAGAATTAGAAAAACGTCTATTTGAAGCTGGCATTAAAGATACAAAAAAGTTTTTGGAAAAAGTTACCAAAGACAGTCAAGGGTATAATGAATTTGGATGTTAATTTTTTAATTTTTATTTAAATAAATTATTTTTTTAGTGTTATACATCTGTTTCCATGGAGTGGTTTACTAGATGAAAATTCTGAACTCAGTGATTCTTTTCGTGTACCATGTTTGAAAGAAGGTCGAATGGTCAGACTATTATCTCAACTATCCAAGAAAGAAGAAGAAATGTTCCGAAACATGGTTCACCGGCTCAACACATTAGTTCAAGTATATCTATAAATGTCTCACTATTACTCAATTTTTATAACTGAGTATAATTATTACTATATGACTTATTTTAGACTGCTAGAGATTTAGATGTTCGTCTCATGGTGGATGCTGAGCAAACATACTTTCAACCTGCTATTTCAAGATTGACTCTTGAACTAATGCAAAAATATAATACTGAAAAAGCTATAGTATTTAATACATACCAATGTTACCTAAAAGAAACACTCAATGAAGTTAAGACTGATCTTAATCAAGCTGAAAGACAAAAGTTTTACTTTGGTGCAAAACTTGTACGAGGTGCCTATATTGATCAAGTAATAATTTTTATTTAATCAATTTAAACTAATTCTTTTATTAAATATTTTCTTTTTATTAATTCAATGAAATGGAAAAAAAAATTTAATTTTAGGAAAGAGCAAGAGCTGCTGCATTAGGTTATGCTGATCCTACTAATCCTTCATATGAAGCAACTACTCAGATGTATCATAATACTTTAACTGAATGTTTGACACGTATAAAAGATCTTAAAGACAAAGGTAAAAGTCCAAATAAAATTGGTATAATGGTTGCTTCTCATAATGAAGATACAGTTCGTTTTGCAATTTCCAAGTAAGTGCTTAATTTTATTATTTATTCCTCAATAAAATTAAAATTAAGTGAAGTATACTTCAGGTGTCTCTTACATTAATTAGAAGAGAACGTGTAAAAACAAGATTGGATAGGGTTAGATTAGCGTTTTTGTGTTTTATATATGTAAATTTTACAGAGACACAGAATAGTGTCTAATATATTCATACAATATGAAATTCAAGTAACCAAAATTGGCATATCAAAAGTTATAATATGGATTGGAATTATCAATACAATAAAACAAAACACAGTACTTGTTATTTATAAAACACCTAAATATATATTTTTTTATAAACATGTTTATTTTAATTATTTTTTCTCTAATTAGAATGAAAGAAATCGGAATCTCTCCTGAAGACAAAGTGATATGTTTTGGACAGTTACTTGGAATGTGTGATTTTATCACTTTTCCTCTTGGTATGTTTTAATTACTATATCGTTTGTTAGAAAATATTTTTTATTAAATTATTTTTAAATAAAAACGTAGGTCAAGCTGGATATTCAGCTTATAAGTACATACCCTATGGACCAGTGAATGAAGTGCTTCCATATCTATCTCGTCGAGCTATGGAGAACAAAGGTGTCTTGAAAAAACTAGCAAAAGAAAAAAAATTATTGAGACAAGAACTTTTTAGGCGAATAATGCGTGGACAATTCTTTTACAAACCTAATGGCAATTTCACACCAGTTTAAAATTCTCTGAAAATTTTCACTTTCTCTAGAATAAATGTGAATCTTACTAATTTTATAGTAATGACAAATTATGCTATGTTCTCGTTTCTTTAAGAAAAAGTATTGAACCAGTATGTGTTTTTATGTGTATATATAAAAGCATTTACTTTAATTAATTTGCTATTTCTGAATCTCGTTTTACTTAAAATATATAGAATGTACTTAAATTTTATCTAAAAGACAATAGTTCCTACACTATTTGTTTCCTTTGAAAAGTATTATTATTGGTTGACAGTTCACTATGCTTTAAATTTATTCCGCCCTTTTTTTATTAGAAGACATTTTGTTAAAGAAATTAATTGTTTAAGTTAAAAATAATAAATGTAATAAGTAAACCATTAATACAATTATTAGAAAATTCATAATTGTATACTTTGAAAGATATGTGAAATAAAATAGTTTACCTAAATTATATATATATATAT